TTTTCGCTTTTCCGGTCCGTTCAACCGCGTATCGCGACACAATGCAAGCGCCCAACGACGTAAACGGCGCTGAATCCGACGACGAGGCACGTGCCGGTCCGATTCCCGCCGCCCAAGGATCCCCTCCGGGTTCCAGCAGCGCTCAACCAGCAGTCGGCGCCGTCAGCAACTGCAGATTACCCTCGTTTTGGCGCGTCGATCCGGAACTTTGGTTTATCCAGATCGAATCCGCTCTACAAGTGCACCGCGTGCACAACGACAACACGCGGTATCACCTGGTGGTCGCCGCTCTGGACCCAGATACGATACGGGAGGTGGCCGACGTCCTCCGCGACCCACCTGCAGCGAACAAGTATGTATCACTCAAGGCAGCTATCCTCCAGCGGATGACGGACTCCGCAGACCTACAGCTACATAAGCTCCTCACGGGACTGGAGCTCGGCGATCGCAAGCCTTCGCAGCTCCTTAGGCAGATGCAATCCTTGGCGAAAGGGGGCGTCAGCGACGATGTTCTGCGGATTAAGTGGCTGGACCTCCTACCGCCCGCCACCCGTCGAATGTTCTTACAGTTAATCCGGATTATTTGGAAAGTTTCATGACAATTTCGACCGATTTCTTCCTTTTTAAAGGTAAGGTTTGAATTTTCTGTAACAAGAAACCCTTTTCTTACGATTTTTCTGTATTTTTAGGAATGCTGAAGCCTTCCGAGAGAGGATTAGAATGCAAGAGGAATGTAATTGCCGTAAATTTGGATAATTTGGTGCGTTTTATGGGGACATTCGACCGTTTTGTTGGCTTTTCCAGACTGCTCGGCCTACAAAATGGATACTAAAAAGGTAAGAATTGAATTTTCTATGTGAAAGAACCTATTTCTGACCATTTTTTTACATTTTTCAGGGATCTGATGCCGTTTCAAGTCTTCTGAGAGAGGAGTAGAACGCAAGAGGAATGTTATTGCCGTCAATTTGGATAATTTGGTGCGTTTTATGGGACATTCGACCGTTTTGTTGGCTTTTCCAGACTGCTCGGCCTACAAAATGGATACTAAAAAGGTAAGAATTGAATTTTCTATGAGAAAGAACCTATTTCTAACCATTTTTCTACATTTTTCAGGGATCTGATGCCGTTTCAAGTCTTCCGAGAGAGCGGTAGAACGCAAGAGGAATGTTATTGCCGTAAATTTGGATAATTTGGTGTGTTTTATGGGACATTCGACCGTTTTGTTGGCTTTTCCAGACTGCTCGGCCTACAAAATGGATACTAAAAAGGTAAGAATTGAATTTTCTATGTGAAAGAACCTATTTCTAACCATTTTTTTACATTTTTCAGGTATCTGATGCCGTTTCAAGTCTTCCGAGAGAGGAGTAGAACGCAAGAAGAATGTTTTTGCCGTAAATTTGGATAATTTGGTGTGTTTTATGGGACATTCGACCGTTTTGTTGGCTTTTCCAGACTGCTCGGCCTACAAAATGGATACTAAAAAGGTAAGAATAGAATTTTCTATGTGAAAGAACCTATTTCTAACCATTTTTCTACATTTTTCAGGTATCTGATGCCGTTTCAAGTCTTCCGAGAGAGGGGTAGAACGCAAGAGGAATGTTATTGCCGTCAATTTGGATAATTTGGTGCGTTTTATGGGACATTCGACCGTTTTGTTGGCTTTTCCAGACTGCGGGGCCTACAAAATGAATACTAAAAAGGTAAGAATTGAATTTTCTATGTGAAAGAACCTATTTCTGACCATTTTTCTACATTTTTCAGGGATCTGATGCCGTTTCAAGTCTTCCGAGAGAGGAGTAGAACGCAAGAGGAACGTTATTGCCGTCAATTTGGATAATTTGGTGCGTTTTATGGGACATTCGACCGTTTTGTTGGCTTTTCCAGACTGCTCGGCCTACAAAATGGATACTAAAAAGGTAAGAATTGAATTTTCTATGTGAAAGAACCTATTTCTGACCATTTTTCTACATTTTTCAGGGATCTGATGCCGTTTCAAGTCTTCCGAGAGAGGAGTAGAACGCAAGAGGAACGTTATTGCCGTCAATTTGGATAATTTGGTGTGTTTTATGGGACATTCGACCGTTTTGTTGGCTTTTCCAGACTGCTCTGCCTACAAAATGAATACTAAAAAGGTAAGAATTGAATTTTCTATGTGAAAGAACCTATTTCTAACCATTTTTTTACATTTTTCAGGGATCTGATGCCGTTTCAAGTCTTCCGAGAGAGCGGTAGAACGCAAGAGGAATGTTATTGCCGTAAATTTGGATAATTTGGTGTGTTTTATGGTTCATTCGACCGTTTTGTTGGTTTTTCCAGACTGCTCGGCCTACAAAATGAATACTAAAAAGGTAAGAATTGAATTTTCTATGTGAAAGAACCTATTTCTAACCATTTTTTTACATTTTTCAGGGATCTGATGCCGTTTCAAGTCTTCCGAGAGAGGGGTAGAACGCAAGAGGAACGTTATTGCCGTAAATTTGGATAATTTGGTGTGTTTTATGGTACATTCGACCGTTTTGTTGGCTTTTCCAGACTGCTCGGCCTACAAAATGAATACTAAAAAGGTAAGAATTGAATTTTCTATGTGAAAGAACCTATTTCTAACCATTTTTTTACATTTTTCAGGGATCTGATGCCGTTTCAAGTCTTCCGAGAGAGGAGTAGAACGCAAGAGGAACGTTATTGCCGTCAATTTGGATAATTTGGTGCGTTTTATGGGACATTCGACCGTTTTGTTGGCTTTTCCAGACTGCTCGGCCTACAAAATGGATACTAAAAAGGTAAGAATTGAATTTTCTATGTGAAAGAACCTATTTCTGACCATTTTTCTACATTTTTCAGGGATCTGATGCCGTTTCAAGTCTTCCGAGAGAGGAGTAGAACGCAAGAGGAACGTTATTGCCGTCAATTTGGATAATTTGGTGTGTTTTATGGGACATTCGACCGTTTTGTTGGCTTTTCCAGACTGCTCTGCCTACAAAATGAAATGGTAAGGATTTAGGTTACCCGTAGAAAAAAGAGTACTGTTGGATTTTTCTTTTACTTAAAATTTCCTTATTTTGCAGGATTGGCACGGGATAATAAGAAGCAAAGGACAACTAGTAGCTTGGAATAAACCGCCAACAACAATTGGAGGCATATTTTGGATTTTTTCTGCCATTTTCAACATTAACCGAACAACCCAGTACTTCGAACGGAGAACCTTCGAACGATGAAATATTATGCTAAAAAGGTATGTAATTACTAATAATTCGTTAAAAAGACAAAATATCATTCAAATACATTCATTTGGAACAAAAATTATAAAAATAACGTAGTATCGAATGATTTTTTGTTACCTGTAGAATGAAAAGTAGGGTTAGATTTTCCTTTTACTTAAAATTTCTTTATTTTGCAGGATTGGCACGAGAAAATAGGCAGGAAATGACAACTAAGAACGGAAAATTAACCACCCGGGACGATTAGGACAATGTTTTGGATTTTTTTCTGCTATTGCCTTCTTCGATCATGCAGCTCTTCCTCCGTTTGGATTATTACAGAGGTTCTTGATTTATTAATTTAATTAATAACGAATGCCGACATGTTTTAATGGCTGCTATTAGACCTTCCGGTGCTCTTAATAAATGTTTGCTGATAAAATGTAAACTTTTTATACTTGTAACCTAAAACTAAAGTGAATTTTAGTTTTGTTAAATCTGAATATAATCCATTGTTTATTACTTTTATTGTCTTATTTGTTCTCCATGTTTCTTTCTAAATAGATAAAAGTAAATGGTTGTTACTGCAATTTATATCAATAGATATCAATTTCAAAAGTTTCTGGAGAATTTGTCTACAATCTACAATGTCACTTGTCACTTATGTCTACTGTCATTACTGTCAAGGAATAATTTAATTTAAAAAAGAAGATTGAAACAACTTTGAAATTAAACGTTGTAATTATAAATGGGTTTGTAAGGGGGTGGGGCACCGTTTCTCTATTCTATTTCAATATAAAAAGGGGAGTCAAACGACATTTTGGATGGTTTTCTATGCAATCTATGGAAAAAATTGAAAGTCGTTGACAATTTGGTTATTATTAATTCAATTGATTTTCGGTGCCATTTCGCATGAAAATTATTGACGCGACTTTGTGATTATCATTAGTTGTTTAATAATTTGTTGTTAATTTGGTTTTTTTCTTTATTTAGCATGAATTTTTCGTGTATTGCGGTAGGAAGCTTCCACCAAGGCGACAGAGTAGCTCTGCCGGAGACCAACAACGCTAGCTGCGTCCCAAATGCTAGCTTAGCCCTGGCATACAGGCATCTAGGCGTTCCGTTCTTTGGTCAAACTATTGATCAAATTTTAATGAACGGATTTCAAATTTACAAAAATATTGTCCCGGTACGTAGTTCCGACTTTAATGCTGATTATTATTATTATACTCCTACCAAAGATAGATGGGACTTTTAAACCCTAAACTGTAATCTCCAATAAACCCATTGGGGTTTACCCAGCTGGTCCTTTCAACCTGAAATGGTCCGTATTACTATTACTCGAATGTATTTTATTCATTGAACCAAAATATATGCAATTTTCAATAATGTTTAAGCGAATAAAATATACAAGTATATTAATTAGTTACGTTACGTCAACCTTTTCTTAGCGGAGTACATGTTAAACTGAAGATTATTACCGAATTTTGAATTCTCGAAGTCCCATTGTATATATTTGGTAGGAGTACACACAACATACATATATTGATTTTTATTTTTTGAATAATTTTAATGGAACAATATATTTATAATACTTTCAAATTACAGGAAAGGCCTCCGTTTCTCGAACCAGAGGAATTGCCACGAGAATTAAACGTTTTGGGACAACTCGTGGCAATAACCCAAATGGAGGCAGTTAATGCCGGTCATTTCCCATCTTGCCTAACTGAATTGCCAGCGATGAAAACGATACTGCGTAATATTCTTCAGGAACGATTTCAAACTGACAGTGTGACCTGTGGATATTTATTTACGGGTAAATATTTGGTTACTTTATTAAAGTAAATGTTAAAATAATGTTATCGAACTATTTTTTGATTGGAAATTAATAAAATTTTTGTTTGTATACAGGTCAAAGTCGGACTGTCAGTTTTTGGAGAGAAAACGGAGCGCTTATGTATTTATTCGACTCGCATGCCGTCAACGAATGGGGCAAAAACGACATGTGCGAAGAGAATAATAAAGCAAGACTGTTTACCTGCGCAGATATTGACAGTTTAGCTCATCTGCTTCTGATCAATTCTGCATACGACGGTAATAGGAGACCATACAACATCCATCGAATTAGTTTCGAAATTCGTTCGAACGACGTTGGAGATAGGGAAAATAATGAGGTAACTGTATCGGAAAGTAAACAAACAAACTTGGCTAATGTAAGTATTGTTTCAAAAAGTTCCGTTACGGCTAATGTAGATACGACAACCTTGACGTCAACTAGAAAAGTGGGGCGTCCTAAAAAAGTTAAACGAGGTCCCAAACCTAAGACCTCAGTATCTACGCCTCCTTCTAAAAAACCCAAAATTATCGTTCATTCTAATATTATTGTTCCTAGGGTTGATGATGAGATTGAAACAACGTCAACACATGCTGATGATGTTCTACCACCACCCCAAGACGATGTAATGTCTGTGGTGTCTACAACTGAGAGTTGCCCAGCTGCATTAGGCAAGATAAGTAACATTAGCGATAACACGCTTGAATGTAATAAAGGCAAAAGAGGACGTAAAGCCTCAGATGTTTCACTTGAGGAGCGTCGTAAAATTCGTAATAAAACTTATAGATCAAAAAATGCAGCAACTTTATTGGAAGCTGCTAAGCACTATCAAGTGGAACATCCAGAGAGTCGTCGAAAGGCCGATAAGAAATATAATCAATTAAACTCTGAAATCCGTAGAAAAATTGATAAGCGTTATCGGACGTCCAATCCAGATGTCTATCAACAAGCAGTGAAGCGTTACAGAACGACCCAACAGGGAAAACACCTTCCAGTTTCTTTGCGTCGTCGTTTCAACATGTTGATTGGCGAATTTAAGACGAACGAAGAATATGCAAAAATTAGTCAATTTGCTCTAAAGAATTCTTCTCTTTTAGATCGAGACAATTGCTGTAAATGTCCACATTGCGGGGCGCCCCTGTTTCACGAAGAACTAGATCGTAAAAAGTGGTGTTGCGGTCAAAATCTTTACAACGTCCAGCAGTTAAAACCGCTAGATGCTACGTTCTACAAGAATCCCTTGTTTTTGGCCCATCCTCGCCACTACAACGACCTGTTCGCTTTCTGTGCGATGGTTACCAAATGGAAACATAAGACAGGTTTGGGTTTCATGAAAATCCAGGGTAGGACATACCATAAGGTACACGATTTGAATCTAAAAGGTACGTCTTATGCCAATCAAAGTTATATGTACATCGACGATGGCGATGCAAGACGTATGGAGGCAAGCAAATTTGATTATTTAAAAAAAGAGATTATTGACCAAATTAGCAGATATCTCGATAGTATTAATAATCCATTTGTCAAACATTACAGACGATTATCGTTGGAGCCCAGCGACCAAGCCCATCTGGTGTTCGAATGCAAAACGCGGAGACAAGCCGGTCCCGTTTTGGGCGAACAGCCACAGTCGACTGAGGTTGCAGCCGTAATAAACACGACCGAAGAAGCATACGATCCTAGGTCAATCGTCATCTGGAAAGTTGGTAAAGGTGAAAAACAAAGAATTCTAAACGTTTTTCATCCGTTAATGGAACCGATGCAGTACCCACTACTCTACCCGCACGGGGAGACCGGATGGGGATTCGGTAAATATGATAAACGAGGAGGTAAGCTCAGCCAATTAAGATATATAAGATGTCTGCTACTATCGGACGAACGCTTTACTGCATTTAATAAATTATCCGAGACATGGTTAGTAGACATGTATTGCAGAATTGAAGAAGAGCGCCTTAATTTCATAAGAAGGTGCCAACGAAACACGAACGCTGGCCAGATGCGCGTCGCTACTTTGGCTGAGGTAAGAGACGTAGCGGAATTAAATCAACGACGCGACGATATACGTCGAGAACGGCAAAATCTAGGCGAAGACGAGACCATTCAGGGCGAAGGGTTCGTAGCTGGTAAAATATATTTACCCCATTCGTTCACAGGTGGTCCCAGATTTATGAAAATAAAGTACATGAACGCGATGGCCGTTGTCGAACGTCTAGGAATTCCAGATTACTTCCTCACCTTTACGGCGAATGGACAGTGGCCGGAAATCAAGGCGTCGACGCACAAATCATGTAAAATGGGCGAACCACAGGTAGTAAATCGCGTCTTTAAATTATATTTAGACGAATTACTGAGAGATTTGCGATCTGGTCGTTGGTTTGGCGACTTAGTTTATTTCATTTATACGATAGAATTTCAAATGCGTGGATTGCCACACGCCCATATCGTTTTCAAAGTAAAAGACGGTCCCATTCAAACGACCGACGTAGATCGTTTCATTAGAGCGGATATTCCTGCAGAGAACGAGGCTGGCGGTGAATTGAGGCGATTGGTTTTGCGGCACATGATTCACGGGCCGTTTTGTGCTAGAGAACGACGGCCGGGTAGTAACAAATACCCGCCGTGTTTCGATCAACATCTTCGAAAATGTTCGAAATTTTTTCCCAAAAAATCTAGCTCCGTTACCTACGTCGACAATCACGGTTTTTACAACTACAAACGTGACGACCAAAACAAAGTAGCTGTTCGATTTGGAAGCGGTGACGTTGAAATAGACGATACGTGGGTCGTATCATACAATGCGCCATTGTTATTAAAATATAATTGCCATTTAAATTTAGACAAATGTTCCGGCCGTTCCGTCGTTCACTATTTGTTCAAGTACATAACTAAAGGTGAACAACTCAGACGAATGTGTGTGGAAATGGACCAATTGGACGAGGTAGAGGAATACGTAACGAAGCGTTATATTGGCGCTACCGATGCTTGTTGGCGTATCCTTGAATTCGATACGAACGGACTTGCTCCTTCTGTGGAAATGTTGCCTGTACATTTAAAAAATTATCACAACGTTTGTTTTAGAACTGGAAATGAGGAGGAGGCAATTCAATCTTCCACGTCCAAGTTGTTGTTGTACTTCGATCGACCCGTCGATCGATTGGCGACTTTGAAAAACGTAACGTACATGGAATTCTACGAAAATTTCATTGTACACGGCGGCCTTCCCAAGACCAAAACGGCAGAAATCTACCCGTTTGCCGATGGTAAGCATTACCTTACAAAACGGCAGAGGTGTCAACGGGTTGCCAGAATGTATTGGATTTCTCCCAATAGAGGTGAGCAATATTATTTGCGTATATTGCTAGCTAGATTTCCAGCCACGGGATACGACGATTTGTTGAAAATCGGCGGCGACGAATGTTCTACATTCCAAGAAGCTGCCAGACACGTGGGCTTGGTTAATGACGACATCGAATACAGAGAGGCGTTAAAAGAGGCTGCCAAATTCATGTACGGATACCGTTTAAGAGCATTTTTTGCTCTTTTGATCTACATCGGCGCGCCTGGTGAGTTAATTTGGAATGACCTTAAAGATACTATTTGTTTCGATTTACTTGACAAATATCCGAATGACAAAACTAGAGCTCATTTCGAAGGTCTAAAACAAATTGACAGATCATTAAGACGACACGGTACCGATTTAGTAAAAGCCGGCCTTCCTGACGTTAAGGACGATACGTCCGAACTGATTAGGGAATTGATGGAATATAACGTTGACGATTTAAAAACACTACTGAGCCAATGGCTCCCGTTATTGTCCAACGATCAGTTGATTATTTACAATTACGTTAACACGTTACTGACAAATAATAATCCATCGACGATTCCAAGTCAAGATAGGGTAATTTTCATTGACGCTCCCGGAGGTTACGGTAAATCTAAACTCCTCGAAATAATCGCAGCTAGCGTTAGGTCTAACAATGACGTCGCCCTTTGTGTGGCATCTTCTGGAATAGCAGCGTTAAATCTTCCTGGTGGCACGACTGCTCATTCCATGTTTAAATTACCACTCGACATAGACGCGTCAAATGTAGACAGTTGGAATATGACGAATTATTGTCAACGTGCCGAACTAATTAAATTTTCGAAAATTATTATTTTCGACGAGGCTCCGATGACTAGTAGATTTCATATTGAAATGATCGATCGATCCCTAAAAGATTTAATGCAATGCCAACTACCTTTTGGCGGCAAAATTATAGTTTTTTCAGGAGATTTTCGACAAGTTGCACCGATTGTGAGAAATGCCTATACGCCCAATGTTATTGTAGCAGTTACGTTGAAAAACTCCAATATTTGGCCCTTGGTAAAGGTATTCAAATTGGAAACGCCGCATAGAGTAACGGGTAATCCGATATTTTCCTCGTTTTTATTAAACGTAGGTGACGGGAAAATTCCCGCCGTACCTGTTTACGGTACGGACGGTCGAAGTTCGACTATTCCACTTTTAAAGAGTGTGAAATTCGTAACGACCTTACACGATTTAATCGATTTTGTTTTTCCAATAGATCTTATACACGATCCAGACGTATGTGCCAGACGTGCAATTCTTTCGACTTTGAACGTCAACGTACGACAAATCAACGCCATCGTAATGGAACGATTACAAGGAGATACGGTGACGTTAAACAGTGCCGACTATTTGAGCGAAGAACAAAATCTGTTGGCTGGCGTTGTTACCGATGAGGTGATGCATCATGCTACAGAATCCGGCGTGCCGGATCATTTGCTCAAGTTGAAGGTTGGTTCGCTTTGTTTTATTATTAGAAATCTTAATTTTGATGAACGTTTGGTAAATGGTACTAAAGTCATCATTATTTCGATTAGTAACAAATTAATCAAAGTCAGACGACCGAACGATTCTAACAATATCGAATATGCTATACCTAGAATAAATTTCAAATTTAAAATTAACAAAAATAGCGATATTGAGATGAATCGTAGGCAATTCCCTTTGCAATTGGCATACGGAATGTCCGTACACAAAGCACAAGGTCAAACGTTAGATACCGTAGGTGTCGATTTACGTTCGCCTTGTTTTACGCACGGACAACTTTACGTTGCACTAAGTAGAGTACGTTCGCCCAACGATATGCGTGTTTTAATTTCAAGCGACGACGTTTTAAATGACGTCGCACACGCAAATAATATCGTTTTTAAAGAACTAGTAGAGTAGAATTTTTTACAATTTTTTGATATTTTTTTTTTATATACAAACAATGTCGATGTAATACAGTCTAGACAATGGAAAGAGAGCAATTAGAAAACACTTGTGTTCAGCATTCACATGCAGAAAAACTTTAACGATTCTAGTATTTACTTATATCTGTGGTATACACATAAAAAAGAGGAGGTATGTGCGATAATGTTCTGTCCTAAAAAAGTTGCGCCTGCATTGGCCGACTGCGACACGAACTCTATTACTCCACAATTAAAAACACCTACTTACTGTGTTTACAATAACAGATAGTAGTACTGATCGTTTAAAAAGTTTTCAACGTTGATGGTGATAAGGCCTAAAAAGCTTAGTAAGCATTAACGTTATTACATGTATTACATGCTGAACGTTTTCAAAAGCTGGAAAAAATTATATTTACATATAATTTATTCCCTTTAACTCCTATTGGGTGTTTTATTCTATCGCTTCGGCGATAAAACAATTTTTATTTTTATTTAGCATTTTTATTCGTTTTTTTTTATGTATGTATACATTCATATTCACCGCTTTTATTATTGCTTGTTTAATTTGATAGTTTTACATTATTTTTATAGAATAATTATGGACATTTTTTACGTTAAAGATACTCTTTAAACGATTAATAATTAGTGTTAATAAGGAGCGTTGAATACGGACCATCGTTTCTGTAATACAAAATTGTCATTAGTTCTATTGTTAGTATTTAGAATTATGTAACTTTGGTATCTTTAAAAAATGTTAAAATATTAAGAAAGAAGCCAGAACATAGAAGTGGTCAAATGGACACGATGAATACAAGTTCAACGTATTTGTAAATACATTAATTTCTTTAAAATACAAACACTAATGTTATTTTTCTGTTTTAGAAGTTGCGGTTTCCGATATACTGTGGATTTTTTCAAAAGAAACAACATAATATTAATTTTAAACGTACGTATGTATGTACATAGGTTAAATGTTGTTTTGTACAGATTGTATTTATTTCTTTTCTAGTATCAAGAGGAAGGTCTAAGTGAAAGTATAGCGAAAGGCGACACATATCGAGAACGAACAAACGATGTTAGGATGTAGATGGTAACCAGGTTAATAAGCTCAACTGCAAAACAACAACGATTTGAAAATATAAGAAGTTCTTCATATGCTGTAATTAAAGTAAAGTAAGTAGTTGCCTTAAATAATTACTTGATTAATACTTTAAAAAAGACAATTTAAAAAATTGCAAATCAGAAATATTTTCTAATAAAAATAACTATCTTTGTAGGTAGGTCTCGAGGAAAGAATCTGTACACTCAAGTTATTATAGAAAAACAAACCAGAAGACAACGTTTTAGAAGATTACCTGTCTACTTTTGTACCTAGCGAAATAAGGTTTTAACGTAACCAGGCCAAAATCGTTAATTCGATGAGCTATGTAAGTACTTATAATTAATTGTAATTTCATCAGAAATAATACGTAAAATTTTATTTACTTTAGATTTCTACAAAGACCATTCTTCTTGAAAAGGTGAAACCGAAGATCCACATGATAGAAGTTATATCCACCCAAGTCGAATATGTCGAGCAAATATCTATCAAGAAAATTAAATTAGTTTGTAGCACTGTTTTTTATATTATACATAATTGTTAATGTTAATATTTTTTCTTTTGTATACAAGGTGTAGGTACATAGCAAAGAGTATGTTAACTTAATTTTCTAATTTATGTAACATATCTTATAAAAGAATAAAAAATATTTTTACAAAAACTTTTAAAATTTATTAAATAACTATTTTATTATTAATTATTATTATATTCTATTATTTTCAACTCGCAATTAGTAAATAGTGTTATCTGTATTAACTGTATGTTTACGACTTTTCTATATTTAACTACTCCAGCAGCCTCTTACAATTTAGGTCAGTAACAAAAACAGGGATGCGCAATGCGCAACCCCCTTTTCGAGCAAAAAAAAGAGGAAGAAAGATCAATTACCACGTTGTCAGAACTAAATCCAATTCTATCCTAAGTTTATTTGATTATTATATTTAAATAGGTTAATTTTTGATATATAAATGTGTATATAAACTATTAAAGAATAAAATGTCTAAATTCATTCAATTTTTCATTCGATATTAATTTTTATAAAATATACGTCGTTCAGAAAATACTAATTGTGGCATCAATGTTTGTAAGTTTTTCAGCGCCTCTACAATTTTGGTTTCAACTTTCGGTCATTTGAAATTTTGAAGGAAATGGGTAAGTCAGATTTTTTAGTCAGTCCTACAATAAATTAGATTAAATTGAATAATATCAATTTCATTATGCTTTTATGTTTGCGGATCGTTTATATGGTTTTGAGAACATTTAATCATTAGACCAAAGCCATTTAAAAAAATTAAAAATACAGGATAATGTCGTTTTTTGTCGTTTTTTGATAACGTCATTTTTTGCTTCAGTAATACACGTCAATTAAATGAATCGATTTAGATTGGAGATATTTTTATTGCGTATATATTTCTTTTCATAACAATGGCACGTTGAATATTTCCTTTCTATTATCTACATAAAAAATTCTGTGAAATATCATTAGTTATGTCACAATGATGTAGAAGTTGGCGATCTCACTGTAACAATGTTGGTGGTTAATTATATTTTTTGCTCAAATTTTATCTTGTAATAATATTTCAAACTAATACAGAAGTGGCATTTTACAAGACGCTAATATCGATTACAAATTATTCAGTTTTATATAATATTACTATTATTATGATATAATTTTTATCTTTACCTATATTTTTAATTGCTTTTGCAGAACCAGCTTACGCGAAACCCGCTGACCAGGCCGCTGACCAGCCGTCAGCGAACTCCGCCGCCCCAAACCGTAAGTGTCTATGCTATTTTTACATTTTACGAAAAAACATAATTTTGAAACATTGTTACTTTGTATTGTTCTTTATTTTAATGATTTCCGGATATTTTCTTTATTTTTGTTTTTGTTTTAGCCGCCGGAGTACTAATGGAGACGGAGGCCATTCAGGAACCCGACGAGGCCAAACCGGCCGAAAGGGACCTGAATGGTCCAACCAACGAGGGCTCCGGCGAGGACCAAAGGGGGGCTGCAAGGCGAGGACGGGGCCGGGGAGGCGGCCGAAGAACCGGTCGAGGACGCGGTCGCGGACGCTCCTCGACCTCTGCGCAGGAAACGGAGGGGGGCCGTGTCGGCCGCGACCGACGCGGCAAAACAAATATCCATAAATATTTTATATCGGGGGGGTCAAATAAAATTTTTATAAGTTAATTATTTGTTTTATTTTATATTAATAATTATTTCAGATGAAAACTATAAATAATTTTTCTCATTTGTACGATTTTTCTGTTTTTAGGAATGCTGAAGCCTTCCGAGAGAGGATTAGAATGCAGGGGGAATGTATTTGCCGTAAATTTGGATATTTTGTTGTGTTTCGTGGTACATTGGACCGTATTCATCCTTCTTCCAGACTGCCCCGACTACATTTTAAATTCTGTAAAGGTAAGAATTGAATTTTCTACGAGAATGAACGTATTTCTGACCATTTTTTTCATTTTTCAGGGATCTGAAGCCGTTTCAAGTCTTCCGAGAGAGGGGTAGAACGCAAGAGGAATGTTATTGCCGTCAATTTGGATAATTTGGTGCGTTTTATGGGACATTCGACCGTTTTGTTGGCTTTTCCAGACTGCTGGGCCTAGAAAATGAATACTAAAAAGGTAAGGATTGAATTTTCTATGAGAAAGAACCTATTTCTAACCATTTTTCTACATTTTTCAGGGATCTGAAGCCGTTTCAAGTCTTCCGAGAGAGGGGTAGAACGCAAGAGGAATGTTTTTGCCGTAAATTTGGATAATTTGGTGCATTTTATGGGACATTCGACCGTTTTGTTGGCTTTTCCAGACTGCTCGGCCTACAAAATGGATACTAAAAAGGTAAGAATTGAATTTTCTATGTGAAAGAAACTATTTCTAACCATTTTTCTACATTTTTCAGGGATCTGATGCCGTTTCAAGTCTTCCGAGAGAGCGGTAGAACGCAAGAGGAATGTTATTGCCGTAAATTTGGATAATTTGGTGTGTTTTATGGGACATTCGACCGTTTTGTTGGCTTTTCCAGACTGCTCTGCCTACAAAATGAAATGGTAAGGATTTAAGTTACCCGTAGAAAAAAGAGTACTGTTGGATTTTTCTTTTACTTAAAATGTTCTTATTTTGCAGGATTGGCACGGGATAATAAGAAGCAAAGGACAACTAGTAGCTTGGAATAAACCGCCAACAACAATTGAAGGCATATTTTGGATTTTTTCTGCCATTTTCAACATTAACCGAACAACCCAGTACTTCGATCGGAGAACCTTCGAACAATGGAATATTATGCTAAAAAGGTATGTAATTACTAATAATTCGTTAAAAAGACAAAATATCATTCGAATACATTCATTTGAAACAAAAATTATAAAAATAACGTAGTATCGAATGATTTTTATGTTACCTGTAGAATGAAAAGTAGGGTTAGATTTTCCTTTTACTTAAAATTTCTTTATTTTGCAGGATTGAAACTGGAAAAAAGGAAGCAAACAGCAACTGGCAAAGCAACATAACCAACCAGGAACAATTTGAACAGCATTCTGGAGTCTTTTCTGGAGGCTTTTTTCCCATTCGATCGAACAACAGTGTTGAAGAACCTTCGTAAACATGTTAAGTAGTATGTTAATTGTGAAATGTTTTTGTAATAAATATAATAAATTGTTATTGAAGTAACTGTTTTAGTTATTTCTACTAATTTAATCTCTTGCAGGAAATTAAAAACATTAATAAAGGACGTTTATCGTTTATCAACATGAAACTAATGTCAACTGTCAAAAACAAGTTTAAAGTAGAAGAAGAAATAAAGGCCTTTTACTATTCGGGTCAGTGTCTAGGAAACATTCATAGACTTTTACATCGCGCAAGGGGGTTGAAAGGGGGCGGAGCCCCCTTTCCGAGCGTTTAGCGAGTCACATATATATATAGCTCTAACTCCAAAAAAACAAATGAAGGAGGAAGACCGAAACTAAAACGGAGTTTCTGGGGCATACGGAGGTACATGGGGGGACGTAAAATAATTCGCCGATTACGAAAATCTACCTCTTTTCTCTGGGAAAAAACGAAATTTTCCGTAATTCGATTTTAAAAGTAAAATTTTTGACACATTTCCAAATAAATTACTTGATGGACGTTGCCCGTTCGTTTGGTTTAAACGGAACTACACCGAAATGAGAGATTTTTTTCGTTATTTAGACAATTTCGTCGTTTTTAATGGACGAAAATAAAAGAAAATGCAATAATACGCAAAAATGTACGTTTCTTGGTCATTTGTACTTACCAAAAACGGAGAAACGACCGAATTACTTTTAAAAAAACTACACTAATGACAGCGGCGATGAACAAATTTCAAACTGTCAAAGTTGTCATTTCCGTTACTACGGGATACATTGACATTTAATTTGATGTACAGGGTGTTTTTTCGTTAAGGAAATCGGAAAAATTTATATACGGGGCGTTTTTTTACCTTAAATGAAAAATTATTTTCAATTAAATTGAAATATAGTACAGGGTGACTCGTATTTAAGGAAATGTTAATTATACATAAACCGAGCGAGCGAAGCGAGCGAGGATCCGGCTATATAACTGCCTTTGCGTAGAACGCCGACAGGCGTTCGAGCTGCGGGTCTATGCGGCAGAGCCCATCGTTAACTAGAGCGATTTAGTCGAGCTCGCGCAGCGAGCGAGACCTTTGTTATTTAACAGCCTTTGCGTAGGAGGCCGTCAGGCCTCCGAGCTGCGGGTCCATGCGGCAGAGCCCACAGATTCAGAAAATCGAGCTCGCGTAGCGAGCGAGACCTTTTATGCTTACTATATGAGCTGCCTTACCATGCGGCAGAGCCCACAGATTCAGAAAATCGAGCTCGCGCAGCGAGCGAGACCTTTTTTACTAACTGTATGAGCTGCGTTGCCGTGCGGCAGAGCCCATCGTTTTAGAAAATCGAGCTCGCGCAGCGAGCGAGACCTTTTATACTAACTGTATGAGCTGCGTTGCCGTGCGGCAGAGCCCATCGTTTTAGAAAATTGAGCTCGCGCAGCGTGCGAGATCTTTTATACTAACTGTATGAGCTGCGTTGCCGTGCGGCAGAGCCCATCGTTTTAGAAAATTGAGCTCGCGCAGCGAGCGAGATCTTTTATAGTAACTGTATGAGCTGCGTTGCCGTGCGGCAGAGCCCATCGTTTTAGAAAATCGAGCTCGCGCAGCGAGCGAGATCTTTTATACTAACTGTATGAGCTGCGTTGCCGTGCGGCAGAGCCCATCGTTTTAGAAAATTGAGCTCGCGCAGCGAGCGAGATCTTTTATAGTAACTGTATGAGCTGCGTTGCCGTGCGGCAGAGCCCATCGTTTTAGAAAATCGAGCTCGCGCAGCGTGCGAGATCTTTTATACTAACTGTATGAGCTGCGTTGCCGTGCGGCAGAGCCCATCGTTTTAGAAAATCGAGCTCGCGCAGCGAGCGAGATCTTTTATACTAACTGTATGAGCTGCGTTGCCGTGCGGCAGAGCCCATCGTTTTAGAAAATCGAGCTCGCGCAGCGTGCGAGATCTTTTATACTAACTGTATGAGCTGCGTTGCCGTGCGGCAGAGCCCATCGTTTTAGAAAATCGAGCTCGCGCAGCGAGCGAGATCTTTTATACTAACTGTATGAGCTGCGTTGCCGTGCGGCAGAGCCCATCGTTTTAGAAAATCGAGCTCGCGCAGCGAGCGAGACCTTTTATACTAACTGTATGAGCTGCGTTGCCGTGCGGCAGAGCCCATCGTTTTAGAAAATCGAGCTCGCGCAGCGAGCGAGATCTTTTATACTAACTGTATGAGCTGCGTTGCCGTGCGGCAGAGCCCATCGTTTTAGAAAATCGAGCTCGCGCAGCGAGCGAGACCTTTTATACTAACTGTATGAGCTGCGTTGCCATGCGGCAGAGCCCATCGTTTTAGAAAATCGAGCTCGCGCAGCGAGCGAGATCTTTTATACTAACTGTATGAGCTGCGTTGCCGTGCGGCAGAGCCCATCGTTTTAGAAAATCGAGCTCGCGCAGCGAGCGAGATCTTTTATAGTAACTGTATGAGCTGCGTTGCCGTGCGGCAGAGCCCATCGTTTTAGAAAATCGAGCTCGCGCAGCGAGCGAGACCTTTTATACTAACTGTATGAGCTGCGTTGCCATGCGGCAGAGCCCATCGTTTTAGAAAATCGAGCTCGCGCAGCGAGCGAGACCTTTTATACTAACTGTATGAGCTGCGTTGCCGTGCGACAGAGCCCACTGATTTGGCAAATCGAGCTCGCGCAGCGAGCAAGGTCATTTCCACAAATCGTATGTGCTACGTGGGCTATGCGGCAGAGCCCACCGATTTAATAGATTTAGAAAAAAAAGTTACACGAATTAAAAATTATTGTATTTTTAACATTCTACATCCTGTGATTTTACTGTAGTTTTTAATTAATCTAATAATTTAAAATTTTGAAGTAAAATAACATCGCCAACTAATATTTTTGATGCAGGTTCTCGTCCTCATTTGTAGTACACAATGTGAAAACAATTGAAATTCGTTGCTATGCCGGTTGCTATTGACAATTCATTATTTTTCGTAGCCATATTGAAAAATTCTTAAAGCGATTTAATTTGAGTTTTTTTTCATCTGCGAATTAAATTTTGGTATTTGTGTAATTAGTGAAATTTGTGATTTTGGTAATAGTAAGTAAGTCTGTATAATAAATAAAATAGTCTAAATATTTTATAAAGGGTGTCCCAACAAGAACGTCGAATTTAATTTTAATGAAAATTAGAGGGGACGCGTACGGTTCCTTGGTTTTCTTGCACTAATTGAATCTGACCGGGTGCATAATTGCGACGGTTAACTTGACGTAAATTGGCCATTTTTGTAATGTATATTTAAGATAATTTAACATTGTTTGTTTGAATACTTGCCCATATTTGTAAATCGCGTAGTATACACGTGACAACTGTGAAAAAAATCACCCTCTAATTCGTTTTAACCAAATAGCGGCAAATTTAAATCCGGCGCTCTTATGTTAATTAATTGAATGTCAATACTTCAGGATGTGAATATTTGGATGATTTTAAGAAGAAAAGTTTGTATCAATGTATGTCCTAAACCTCTTAGTTTTCGAGCTACAGGGTGTTGAACTTTTAGAACAAATATCTTTTCTGTCATAATTTTCTTATTACTCCAGATATTTTTATCAAATTTCGGACGTGGACGTCACTGGTAATAGAAGAAAATTAATTTTTATCCAAAATAAAGTTTTTCCATGCATAGTGGGCGCTTACCAAATTTTAACAAAATATCAAAAGCAGTCTCAAAATTAACTTGGAAAAAATTGTTGAACATATATTAATAATAACTTTTCTTCTTAAATTCATCTAAATATTCACATCCTGAACTGTCGGCATTCAATTAATTAATACTCTAGTGACACCGTTATGTTGTTTTATTAAAGGGAGTTGTGTTCTTAAATTTACGTATGTTTTTTTAGTTATAAATATGAGTTATTCATGTATTGCGGTAGGAAGCTTCCACCAAGGCGACAGATTAGCTCTGCCGAGGACAAGAAACGCTAGCTGTGTCCCAAATGCTAGCCTAGCTTTAGCCTATAGGCATCTTGGGATTCCATTTATTGGTCAAACAATTGATCAAATTTTAATATACGGATTCCAAATTTACGAAAATATTATTCCGGTACGTATCTACCTACAATATCCTATTAGAATAATCCTAATGGAATACTAATAATAATATTTTTAAATTGTAGGAGCAACCTCCATTTCTCGAACCAGAGGAATTACCACGAGAATTTAATATTTTGGGACAGGTCGTGGAAATTGCTGAAATTGAACCTGTTAATGCTGGTTACTTTCCAAATTTTCAGGTAGAATTGCCAGCGAAGGAACATATATTGGTTGAAATTCTTCAGGAACGGTTTCAAACTGACAGTGCGACCTGTGGATATTTATTTACAGGTAAATATATGAATTCTTTAATAAGTAATTATTTTATTTTATTAATTTAACAAATAAAAAGTTGTTGTCATTATAAATATCGAATGCTTTATTAGATAAACTAAACGGTACATTTTCAGGATTAGTTTGTAAAAATGTGTAAAAAATACGTGTACTATTTTTTATTTGGAAACTAAAGATATTTTTGTTTTTATATAGGTCAAGGCAGAACTGTCAGTTTTTGGAGAGAGACAGAGGGTGGCATATATTTATTCGACTCACATGCTGTCAACGAATGGGGCAAATACGACATGTGCGAAGAAAATAATAAGGCAAGATTGTTCACCTGCCCAAATATTGAGAGTTTGGCTCAACTTCTTTTGATCAACTCTGCGTTTGATGGTAATAGTAGGCAGTACAACGTACATCGAATTAATTTTGAAGTTCGATCGAACGTAGCTACTAGGAATGATGAGGTAACTGTGTCGGAAACTGAAAATAGAAACAAGGAAAATGTAAGTGTTGTTTCAAAAAGTTCAGTTTGTAATGAAGTAAGCATGAATTTGACGTCTACTAGAAAATTGGGACGTCCGAAAAACGTTAAGCGAGGTCCCAAACCTAAGAACTCAATAACAATGCCTCCTTCGAAAAAATCCAAAATTGTTATTCATTCTAACATTCTTATTCCTAGAGTTGATAAGGAGATAGAATCACCGTCAACATGTGCTGATGATGTTTTACCAGCAGATCAGGACGATGTAGTGTCTACAACTGAAAAAAAGAAAATAGGGCGCAAAGCTTCGAATGTCTCACTTCAGGAGCGCCGTAAAATTAAAAATAAAATTTATAAAGAAAAAAGGTCAGCAATTTTGTTGGAAGCCGCCAAACGTTACCAATTAGAGGATCCAGAAAGTCAGGGAAAAGCTGAGAATAAGTATAATAAATTAAATTCTGAAGTTGTGTATCCAAAAGTGCTGAACCGCTATAGAACCACGCACCTAGGAAAACACCTTCCACCTTCTTTGCGTCGTCAAAATGACAAATTAATTGGCGAATTCAGAATAACTGAACAATATGCTAAAATTAATAAATATGCTCTAAAAAATCCTTCACTTTTAGATCCAGCGATTTGTTTTAAGTGCCCTCATTGTAGAGCCCCGCTGTTTGATGAAGAAAAAGAGAGAATACAATGGTGCTGCGGACAGAATCGTTACAACGTTAGACGGTTTGAGCCCTTAGACGCAAATTTTTACAAAAACTTATCTTTTTTGAGTCATCCGCGCCATTACAACGATTTGTTTGCATTTTGCGCAATGATTACAAAATGGAAGAGTCCGAAAGGTTTGGGTTTCCTCAAAATTCAAGGTCGAACCTATCATAAGGTACACGACTTGAATATGAAAAGTACGTCTTATCCCAATCATAGCAGTATGTATATAGATGACGGTGATGCTAGGCGGTTAGAAGCTGCTAAATTTAATTATTTAAAAAATGGCATACTTAAGGAAATTACTTGCTTTTTAGAAAAAGTTAATCCTTTTATTAAAGATTTTAGACGCCTCGCTTTGGAGCCCAGTGAAAAGGCTCATTTGGTTTTCGAATGTACGACGAGACGTCGAGCTGGTCCGATATTGGGTGAACAACCTCAGTCGACTGAGGTAGCGGCTGTAATTAGTCTAATAGACGAACCCAACGATCCCAGACAGATATGTATATGGAAAAATGGAGAAGGTAAAAGACAACTAAATGTGTTTCATCCTATAATGGAACCCTTCCAGTATCCTCTTCTGTATCCGAGAGGTGAATTAGGTTGGACAATCAACATGAAGGACAACCAAGGTGGTAAATTAAGTCAACTTAAATACATAAGGTGTCTTCTATTGTCTCAGGAAAGGTTTACAGCTTTCAATAAATTATCTGAGACTTGGTTGGTTGATATGTACTGTAGAATTGAAGAGGAACGTTTGAATTACATTTCTAGGTGTCAACAGAACCCAACAACGGCTGCGATGCGCATGGCTACTGCGGCCGAGGTGATTGACGCCAATGAATTGAATAAGCAACGCCAAGAAGTGCGTCAAAACGCACAAGATGACGAAACAATTCGAGGTGAAGGTTTCGTAGCAGGTAGAATATATTTGCCTTGTTCATTCACAGGTGGACCTAGATATATGAAGATAAAGTACATGAACGCGATGACGTTGGTTGAAAGATTAGGTATTCCTGATTATTTCTTAACTTTTACGGCCAATGGCCAATGGCCGGAAATAAAAGCGTCCACTCATAAATCGTGTTCAATGGGCGAACCTCAAGTCGTTAATCGCGTATTTAAATTATATTTTGACGAATTAATGAGAGATTTGCGAAGTGGACGTTGGTTCGGTGAATTAGTATATATTATATACGTAATAGAATTTCAAATGCGTGGTCTTCCCCACGCTCATATTGTTTTTAAGGTTAAAAATGGTCCCGTTCAAACGACAGATGTAGATCGTTTCATCAGGGCAGATATTCCCGCCGAGGATGAAGCTGACGGTGAATTAAGACGTTTGGTTCTGAGGCACATGATCCATGGACCCTACTGTGCACGAGAACGACGTCCAGGAAGTAATAAATTTCCACCTTGTTTCGATAAGGAATTGAGGAAATGTACGAAATACTTTCCGAAAAAACCGGTCGAAAACACGTATGTAGACAATCATGGCTTCTACAATTACAAACGTAGCGACAGGAACAAAGCGACCGTTCGGTTTGGTAATGGTGACATCGAAATTGATGACACCTGGGTAGTTTCCTACAACCCAGCGTTGTTATTAAAATATAATTGTCACATCAATTTTGATAAATGTTCTGCACGTACTGTCATTCATTATCTTTTTAAGTATTTGACGAAAGGCGAACAATTGAGACGAATGTCGGTGGAACCAGACCAACATAATGAAGTAGAGGAATACGTCACTAAACGCTACATCGGTGCAACTGATGCTGCATGGCGTATATTGGAATTTAATACTACAGGAATTGATCCAGTAGTTTATACATTACCAGTTCATTTAAATAATTGCCATAATGTATGTTTTAGACAAGGCTTTGAGGAGAACGCCATTCAAACTTCTACCTCCAAATTACTTTTATACTTTGCTCGACCCGTCGATCAATTGGAGGAATTGAAGGACTTGAATTATATCGAATTCTACGAAAAGTATATGGTTTACTGTAAACGTCCTAGTACCAAAACGGCACAAATTTATTCGTTTGCCGACGGTAAACATTTCCTAACTAAACGACAACGTGGTAGAGTTGTTGGTAGAATACATTGGGTTTCGCCCAATCGAGGTGAGCAATATTATTTAAGAATGTTATTGGCCAATTTTCCAGCTTCAGGTTATGCGGATTTGTTGAAGTTGGGCGGTAACGATTGCGATACGTTCCAACAGGCGGCTAGACATGTGGGTTTAATAAACGATGACGACGAATATAAAGAGGCCATTCGTGAGGCTTCACAATTTATGTTTGGTTTTCGGCTGAGATCGTTTTTTGCACTTTTGTGCAACATCGGTGCACCGGCCAGAGCATTGTGGGACGACCTCAATAGGATTATTTGTTTCGATTTACTCGATCAATATCCTAATAACGAAGATAAGGCGTTAAGAATCGGTTTGCGACAAATAGACAGAGCTTTGAGACGTCACGGTTCCAATTTAAAAGAAGCCGGACTTCCACCAGCTCGCGACGATACGTCTGAATTGATTCGAGAATTGACGGATTATAACGTAAGCGATTTGCAAACTTTCGTAAATCAATGGTTGCCATTGTTGTCGAAAGATCAATTAATTATTTTTAATTACGTTGATAGTTTGTTAGGTAGCAATCTTCCAGGGAAGACAATACAACAAACAGATAACAAGGTGATATTTATCGATGCACCCGGCGGATATGGCAAAAGTAAGTTACTGGAAGTTATTGCGGCTTATGTCAGATCGAAAGGCGACGTAGTTTTGTGTGTCGCTTCATCTGGTATAGCCGCATTAAATCTACCCGGTGGTATAACGGCACATTCGATGTTTAAATTGCCGCTTAACATAAACGAATGTAACGCAGAATATTGGCACTTGACGACACATTGTCAACGAGCCGAATTAATAAAATATTCGAAAGTAATTATCTACGACGAAGCGCCGATGTCCAGTAGGTATTACATCGAAATGATTGACAGATCTTTGAAAGATTTGATGAAAAATCATTTGCCGTTTGGTGGGAAAATTATCATTTTTTCAGGTGATTTTAGACAGATTGCACCGATCGTGAGGAATGCCCTTACATCGAACGTCGTTTTAGCGGTTTCGATGAAACGATCCTTCATTTGGCCCTCTATGAAAATATTTAAATTGAATACACCTCATAGGGTAAAAGATAATCCGGAATTTTCGTCATTTTTACTAAAAGTTGGCGATGGAATAATTCCCGAGGTACCTGTATACGACGTAGATCTACAGTGTCACCGGTTTATCATTCCGCTTTTGAAAGAAATTAAATTCGTAACGAATTTAAATGATTTATTAGATTTTGTTTTTCCAACAGATCTTATAGAAAATTCCGAAGCTTGTGCAACACGTGCAATTTTATCGACGTTGAACCAAAATGTACGCCAAGTCAATGCCGCTGTATTGAAAAGGTTACAAGGTGACGTCGTAACGTTGTATAGCGCCGATTATTTGGATGATAAAGAGAAAAATTCTCTGGTCGGAACAATAACCGACGAGATGATGCACCAAGCGACAGAATCCGGCGTACCGGATCACATGTTACAGTTAAAAGTTGGAGCGCTTTGTCTACTTACGAGAAACCTTAACTTCAGTGATCGTCTTGTCAACGGAACAAAATTGGTAATTATATCAATCACTAAAAGACTAGTTACGGTTAGGCGACCTAATGATCCAAATAACGTTCATTATGCCATACCGAGAATTATTTTTAAATTTGAAATTAACAAAAACTTGAAAATTCAAATGAATAGACGTCAGTTTCCATTGCAACTGGCTTATGGTATGTCTATACATAAAGCTCAAGGACAGACTTTGTGTACAGTTGGAATCGACTTACGAACTCCTTGTTTTACTCATGGTCAATTATATGTTGCTCTTAGTAGAGTAAGATCCCCAAACGATATGCGTGTGTTTATTGCGAATTCAAACATTTTAAATGATACAGCGCACGCAAAGAATATCGTATTTAAAGAACTTATCGATTAGTTTTCTATAATCGAAAAACAATCAAGTACAGACTAGACAATTATAATAATTGCGAGAACATTTGTTCAGCAATTATAATTTACATAAAAACTTTGACGATTCTGGTAGATGTCTACTTAGATCTGTGGTACAATTTTGCAAAAGAGGTAAAACGGCTTATGTTCTGAAAGTTGCTTGCCACATTGGCCAACTACTACACGAACCCTATATAATGCCACATAATTAAAAATACCTACTTGCTGTAATTACAATAACAGATAGTAGTATACCGATCGTTTTATAAGTTAAGGTAGGCCTGTCAGTTATCTGTATTTATTTTATTTATGTTAAAATATTGACGGATTTACTGATGGGGAATCCAATAACGAGGCCACAAACACCACGGATAATTTCTTTTCTCTTATATATTTTTATTTTTTCTATAATTTCATTTTTTTAGAGAATTGAAATTATTGCCTCCTGGGCCGGCCATGGAAGTGGTGTTTTTTAATAAATTTTATTTTTTAGCTAAAGTAAGTATGTTATATTATAATAAGTATATCCTATGGCAACCTGTATATATTATGTTCAATTTAAGTTACAAATATGGTACATTTGGTTTTTTGTCATAATTACTTTGTACAATTTATTAGATGAAATTCTATCTAGGTAATTATCCGTCGAATGTTATAATACGTTATTATCCAGTTTTAAATTTTGTTATTTTTAATTGGCAATCTCATTTTGTAAGTTAATTATATTAAATTTATATTTAAATATGTATGTATATTAACGTTTTAAACAGTTTACTTGTAATCATCGTACATAATCATCATAAGAGCTATATGAAAAATATTAGTACAAAATCTAAGTATGTTGATAAACAAAGGCTTTTAATTAAAAAATAAATAATACAACGTATTGAAAAAATGTGGTACCTATCCTATTACATCAAAATCCAGATTATACTCATGTTCCTTTGAAATAAAGGAGGTAATCGGAAGAATTTTCTTAAAAGGCAACTTGTGTTTTGAAATACAATACCCATTATACATCATGAAATCCTAAAAAAATCAGCTTATCGTCATCGAAAACCGAGAGATTTTTGAAAATATGATAGAAAGTAGAAAATCACTTGATAAACCTATAAAACAGTTTGAATAGAATTTCGATCGTCTTCTGGTATTTATACTTCCAAGTTTATCGTTTTCATCGCTCATGAAGAAAGATCATGGAATTTTCTTTTAAATGTTACGTATATTTATTATTTTCCCATGAGATTAATTCGAATAACTTTCAATTGGTAATAAAAATCAAATTTTAATACAAACAAAATAAACAGTTTCATACAATACTTCTTCTTATTCATAGGTTTTTGGCCTCAGCTGCCAGGGCTAATCGGTCAACAATACGAAACTAATAGTTGAAGTTTGACATTTTAGCCTGTCATTTTTAAACCTATTCTAAAATGAAATGTCCAATTACAACGTTGCCAAAACAGAATCAAACTAAATTTTAAGTTTATTTGATGATTGCACTTAAATCAGTTATTTCGATATATAAATATTTATGTAAACTACTTAAATAATACAAATTTTACAGCATTCGGTAACTTTAATTCATTTTTAAAAAATATTCGTCGTTCATGTACATAATAAATATGGCATCAATGTTTCTTCAGCGCCTCTACAATTTTAGTTTTGACTAATTCCGCCTACTTCCGCCTTTTCATTTTAAATTTGAAAATGGGTAAGTCAGAATTTTCTTGGTCTATGTATAAATTCGATTTAATTGATTACTATTAACTTGTTAATGATACTTTTGTTGTTTGCGAATACTTTATACGGTGTTAATGACACTGAATATATATAATTTGACCAAGACCATTAAAAGATTTTAAAAAAATTAAGAAAATGTTCCGGTCAATCCGTGCGCGTCATTAATATCTATACTTTAATTGAATCGATTTAGACGCATTGCAATAAGCATTGCAATCATTATGTGTGTTTTATTATATTTTCAGTTTCATTCCTTTTGATTATTTAATGAAATTTTGAAATAAAGTATTACTTACACACGTCACAATTGTTTTCAAGATGGCGATTCCCGTGTAACAATTTTGATTGTTCAATTTTTTTTCTAAAATTTTAATTATCATGTAACATTTCAAACCTAAATACAAACACATACATTGTGACAATTTAAAATCAATGGCTATACCTACCTCACAAACGAAAAATCAAAAGTGCCTACAACTTTTCTAGAAAAGTTTCTAGGATATAAAGAGTGAACTAAAATGGACTAAAAGAGAACTCTTTCCCATAAACCCCTTAGGCCCTACCTACCCCAACAAAAAATAAATAAATAACAAACCCCAACTTGTAATACATCATTATTAAAAAGCTTACAAAAAATGCTATCCAATGGTATAACTACAAATAATAATTATACAGAGTGTATCAAAAATTACCAAATTAATATCTAACAATTTTAAAAACCAACTAATCCTACTTGTGATGCAATGTTAAAAATCTCGAAAAGCCAATAAAAACCCTATTTTTAATCATAAATATCCGTATTTAGGTACTTTTTTTAAATAAATATTATCTTTTGTTTGTGAGATATCGCCAATTGTACGTTTTTAAATTGTTACATATCTAATATTTTATGAATATTTTTTCATATATGTATTTACTAAATACAAATTACTCTTTATAGAAAATAACAACGAGCAAACCGACGCAAAGCGAGAGAGTGCACCATCCCCGGCGCCTAGCTGTATGTATCTACTATATTTAGAATATTAAGTCATTTTACAGAAATAATTTTTAAATATTGTACTTTTTATTATTAATTAAATTGATTAATTCCGGTTAGTTGTTTAGAATTAATATTTCTGTTTCTTTCAGCAATTGAAATGGAGGAGGAAAGGCCCTCTCA